CCAACCAGCCAACCAACCAACCAACCAACCAGCCAACCAACCAACCAACCAACCAGCCAACCAACCAACCATCCATTCAACCAACCAACCAATCAACCAACCAACCAACCAACCAGCCAACCAACCAACCAACCAACCAACCAACCAACCAACCAACCAACCAACCAACCAACCAACCAACCAACCAACCAACCAATCAACCAACCAACCAATCAACCAATCAACCAACCAACCAACCAACCAACCAACCAACCAACCAACCAACCAACCAACCAACCAACCAACCAACCAGCCAACCAACCAACCATTCAACCAACCAACCAATCAACCAACCAACCAACCAACCAGCCAACCAACCAACCAACCAACCAACCAACCAACCAACCAACCAACCAACCAACCAACCAACCAACCAACCAGCCAACCAACCATCCATTCATCCAACCAACCAATCAACCAACCAACCAACCAACCAACCAACCAACCAACCAACCAACCAACCAACCAACCAACCAACCAACCAACCAACCAACCAGCCAACCAGCCAACCAACCAACCAACCAACCAACCAACCAACCAACCAACCAACCAACCAACCAACCAGCCAATCAATCAATCAATCAATCAATCAATCAATCAATCAATCAATCAATCAATCAATCAATCAATCAATCAATCAATCAATCAATCAATCAATCAATCAATCAAGCAAGCAATCAAGCAACAAATCAATCAATCAATCAATCAATCAACCAACCAATCAACCAAACCAGTCAACCAACCAAACAACCAACCACTCAGTGAACCAATCAACCAACCACAAACAACCATTAAACAAATATATAAACAACATATTAATAAAAAAATAATATTTCCTTTATATGATGCTTTAATGCTTGATGTGAAAATGACATAACTGTTCAAACATCTGTATAAATTTAGTTTTCACAAAACTGACAAAACACTAAAACATCACTTTTGAAGATTCTACTGTCTTCTAATTTAGTATTTTCTCAGTTTGTGTCCAAGTGTTGAGTCACTTCTTAAATGGATGTCATTTATAAATATGTGAGTCTCATTGTCGTTCTGCATAAAACTGTTTAAGCAGATGAAGTGTATAATTAACCTTAACTAGGAAACAAATGTAAGAACAAGTGATTTGTAAAGAACTTCAGAGGTGAAGTGAGGTGAAAAGGAGACAAACAAACCAGAAATAAAGAGAGCTTTCACTTTCATGACCACTTTCATTTCACAACTCGACTTTTCTGAAGAAACCTACAACCGGAAAGGCAATTCACTTTAAATGAGCGGCTGAACTCTGGATCCAATTTCAAGTTCTTATGCATTCATTTATTTTTATGGCATAAAGCAATTATATTAAAATACCATTAAAAGATACAATAAAAAGATCCTGAATATGTTTGTATTTTAATAGGATGCGGCTGTAACGTCTGCAGTGAAACAGATAAAGCAGATGCAGGTCAGAATATCGTTTACTCGAACATCATATTTGAGTTGTAGCAAATCATTTTATGGATGGGCGCACATGAATGCACATTTAAACCTGTTTATTGATAAATGTAGTCTGGGACTACTGAAAAAAGTGAAAAATATGTACTTTTGCATGACGTTTCTTAAAGGGGTCACAAAACAAAGAGAAATAGACACAAATAAAAAAATATTGTTGTTTTTTTCAAAGAAATAATAACAACAACAACAACAACAACAACAACAACAACAACAACAACTATTATTATTTTTATTATCATTATTATTATTATTATTATTATTATTATTATTATTATTATTATTATTATTATTATTACATAAATAACTTATTAAATAAATAAATATTTTTAAACCCAATGAACAACATAAACATGCATAACCAAACCAACCAACCAATCAATTAAACAACCAGTATGAAATAATTTTTGCAAGCTGAAAGAACTGCAATACAGTCATTGCTGCTGGCATGACAATCAATCAATCAGCCAATCAAAAAGCCAATCAATCAGCCAATCAATCAATCAATCAATCAATCAATCAATCAATCAATCAATCAATCAATCAATCAATAATAATAATAATAATAATAATAATTATAATAATAATAATAATAATTATTATTATTATTATTATTATTATTATTATTATTATTATTATTATTATTATATAGCCAAACTACATAAATAAATAAATAAACAAAAAAAAAACAAAAACAAATAATAGATATATCATCATCATCATTAACATAACCAAACAAATTTAAATAAAATCATTTAATTAAATAAATGCACACAAAATTATTGCTATAATTCCAATGGTTTAAACATGTTAATATAAGTTAAAACTTAATTAAAATTAAAAATAACGTAATTACTTTATACATTATTAATAAGATAATTAATAGTTACAAAATATAATTAAATTATGACACCAGCAGATGATGTTTAAATCAAACCTACTTATTAAACAAACAAACATTAATTAAAAAAAA